TTTACACCCCTGACTTAGGAAAAGATTCACTTGAGTATACAAATAGGTCAGTTCAAGGCTCTTCCTCGCTTGTAAGAGGTAAGAACCAAAAATACTGTAATAGTCCAACATGGAGAAATGGTTAAATGCACTGTGATGCACCTCTCCTACGGAATACTACACAGCAATCAACAAGATTCATGGGACTAACATGCCCTCCCCAACACGGGTGAAAGAAACTGTACGTGCAGGGGGATCTCATCTGTATAACACGTGGAGGGAAGGAAACATTGAGAACGTATTTCCAGAAGGATACACAAGTAATTGGTCTCAGGGGATGCCCCGGGGGAGGGTAAGTCACTTTCTCCCTGAGACGGTTTTATACTGTTTGGTTGATTTCTTTTGTGTTTTGAGAATTACTATTTTAGCTGTTAAAAAATAAAATAAAATTAATTTTTAAATTCCTTAAAAAGCTTTCCAGAGTCATTCGACTAAAGAAAATAAACTAAAGAACAACATTTCCATTGTACCATCGAGGTAAAAGACTACTCATAAAAACAAAACTATATTTTTGTTATGACTTATGTATGTAAATACTTGGAAACACGACTGAAGGATGCCGATCTATCAATGTGTAGCCTCAGAAGAGGTGGCCTGCAAAAAAATTATTTTAATGAATGATAAAGTATTCATTGGTAACTTAAAACATTTTTTAAATGTTATCTTTGAAAAGTAAACGTTTGTCAGAAGAAGAAACTGCACGTTTAATTTAATCAAAATAAGTAACATTAAAAATACTGGTATATTTCCCGAGCTGGTTTGGCTCAGTGGATAGAGTGTTGGCCTGCAGACTGAAGGGTCCCAGGTTCAATTCCAGTCAAGGGCAGAGAAGGGGGCATGCAGGAGGCAGCCAATCAATATTTCTCTCTCATCATTGCTGTTTCTATCTCTCTCTCCCTCTCCCTTCCTTTCTGAAATCAATCCTATATAATAAAGAGGTAATATGCAAATTGACCATCACACCCTCACACAAGATGGCCTCCCCCATGTGGTCAAAGATGGCTGGCAGGGGAGGGCAGTTGGGGGCAACCAGGCCGGCAGGGGAGGGCAGTTGGGGGTGACCAGGCTGGCAGGGGAGGGCAGTTGGGCAGGGGAGCAGTTAGGTGTCGATCAGGCTGGCAGGGGAATGGTTAGAGGGTGATCAGGCTGGCAGGCAGGGGAGAGGTTGGGAGCCAGCAGTCCCGGATTGTGAGAGGGATGTCTGACTTCCAGTTTAGGGATCGGGCCTAAACCAGCAGTCGGACATCCCCTGAGGGGTCCCAGATTGGAGAGGGTGCAGGCTGGGCTGAGGAACATCCCCCCCCCGCTGCCCCCCTGCATGAATTTCATACACCGGGCCTCAAGTAAAAATATATTTTTATAAAATACTGGTAAATTTCATTTTCTAATTTATACACACTTAGGTTAATTCAAATATCACACTCTGGTACCATAAGAATGTTTATTTCACGAGTAATTTTTAATTCTATAACCACAATTTCCCCACATTTTTACATTATCACATTTTTTCCCTACACTTTTAAAACATTAAGTACAGAATTTAGAAGTTAAAAAGGAAAGGTACATTCTTTCTGCTGAATAATATATCATATTTAACTTAAAGATGATTAACCTTTTGGATATCAAAACCGATGCTGCTGGGGTCACATTTATTTGGGGGTTCCAAAATAGCCCTGAGGTCTAAATAGGAAAATACCTCTTATAAACAAACAAAAACTCTCACTTCAAAATAAAACACTATGAAATTTACAGAATCACATCTAGACTCAACGTTTTTTACAATATCCAGAAACCTACCGGATTTTTAGAAATGACAACGAAGATAGCTTACATCCAGCAAACAGAGCTTATCCCAAGATGAAACAAAACTGGAAACCGGGCCCCTGCACAGCCTGCTCACACACATCCACAGGCCCCAGGGAAGTCCCAGGCAGGGCGATTCGAATGAAGAGAATTTCAATGAGATTGGCTTTTCCTGTTTCTATGAATGGGGCGTATTAGTAAAATTCCTCAGGATGTTCCAAAGGCTCCCAGACTTGCTGGTAACATTTCTGGGTGTATAGCTTCCCTTTATAGTTTTCATCAAATTCGACATTGCTGTGCAGTTCCAAACCAGCTTCTAGAACTTCTGCTCCCAAACTGGTGTTAAAGTGCTTCCATGTGCCCCCCCCGCCTCCCCAAACTCCCTAATGCATCAGGTCAACACAGGCCACGCTCTACCCGGGATGGCGGCCTCGTTTTTGTTTCTTCTACATTTTCCTTAAAAACAATACAAAGGTATCACAGTCTGATGAACCGATTTCTCTCAAGCCCCAAATTATGTTACCTTTGATTAGAGCATATAACACTGAGGCCAACTTCTTAGCACTTCTTCAGGGCAAAATGTGGATTCTATGTTAGCCTGGTGCCGAGTCTCAGGGGAGTCAGCCCCCACCCGGTGGCCACTCTCCAACCAGAGTCCTCTGAGGCAGGGTCCCTCCGTGCCAAGGATGTCAAAGGCCCATACCCGGCTGCGGGACCTCGCCAAGGAGCTCCTATACTAGTCACCTGGGCAAAACCGCCTCTGAAAAGGAAGGCCTGTGTTATGACACACTGGCTGTTACACGTGTGTTGGCCGGAGTGCCCACAGTGGCCGTGGGCTGTCCGGTCCTCCTGAATACACACCGTCCAAGCAGGTCACCCCTGACATTCCCCGGGAGCCACCGTGAAGCCACAGCAGCAGTCACCTTTGTGAGCACAAAGCCAGGTCTCCTCTCAGGTCATGTGTGTGCACGCATGTGTGTGTGTGTGTGTGTGTGTGTGTGTGTGTGTGTGTGTGTGTGTGTGTGTGTGTGCACTCTCACCTTATCACACACTGTCCACTCTGGCACAGCTTGCTGCTGAGGGCTGTCATGGCACTACAGGGGCCACACCTGTCACATCGGCTTATTTCAGGCTGGGTCAGAGCGAGGAGGTTGTGTCCTGTACGCGGCACTGGCATTCGCCCGAGTCACTCAAAAATCAGCTCATCAATCCTGGTGGTTGTGCGGTTTCCTATTTCTTTCAAAAACTAACCTCCAGAGGAAGGTCTTCAGCCACTTATTTTAAATGTTAATGAAGAACCATGTGAATTCAAGGGCACCGAGGTGAGCACTGACTCAGCAGGTATACAGAACAGATGCCCAAATAAGTTTTAAAAGCGTGGAGGTGCACCTCGAGGAGAGAGCAACCTCAAGTTGGGAAGAGCCGTTCTTGTGTTTAGTGCTTGGTGGCAGCCGACAACTCTGCTGGATGGTTTTGTCATAAACGTGACTTGGTTGTCTTATAAGGGGTGACTGTGCTTGACCTTCCCCAGACGACCCTGGCCCTCCCGGCAGCTGCTGGATGGGACCCGGCTAACGCGAGCCCGATGCAGGGGAAACTGAGGCCCAGGGCCAGGTGCAGAATCCAAACAGTTCCCTACCACGGAGCAGAGGGCCCGAGCATGTCAGACCTTCCCAACACTGTAAACAAGACAAGGTGCTAGCGTTTTCGCATATAAAGGGCTGGTTGTGACTAGGAGCTTCCAGTCGTTTGTGATAAATCTTAATACTCCCGGGAACAACCGTGCTGTATGAGGATGGAAACATGAGTGAGCATGAGTCGGCAGGTGAGCCTGGGGGAAGAGGAACAGCTGACTAACAGCAGGGCTGCAGCTCATCCCACAGAGCAAGCTGAGCGGGTTCTGGAGGGCTTCTCTCTCCTGTAGTGTGGACGGCCAGGCACAGTGCTCCTGCCAGAGGCTGCGGGAGCCAATCACACCCACTCCTTAGTCGCGGCTCATTTATTTACATCTCAGGGAGGCGTTTCTTCACAACTCGGTGCCCAGGATTCCTCCCCGGGGACAGCAGCTTCCCATCCATGCAGGGCCGGGGCCTGGCTCCACCTCCTGCGATTCAGTGTCAGACAGCAGCCTCGTCTCCACTCAGCCGCACGGCAGGACACCTGTCACCCACGGCCAGCGGAGGCAGCCTGGAACGGCCCCTCTGAGCCACAAGCCCCACTTTCCAAATGACATCACGAAATCTTAGCCTTTTCGGCAAAATGAGCCTCGAGCCTTAGGAGGGCCCGCAGTTGAGATGACGAAGGGATTGTATCTCCCGCCTTCATATTCCTGAGGTATCGCATGCTGCCCATCGGGAGCCACGTCAAAAAAGGTAAAGGTCCCTAAGGTTCTGTGGGTGTCTCCCTCGTGCAGCCAAAGCCCTGGAAGGTGCGTGCGGCCTCTGAGCGCCCAGTTTTCCCTGCTCCTCCCCGCTCTGGGCTGGGCGCTGGGCCGTCGGTAGCACACTCAATCACATGAGCACATAGGAGAGGGAGTCATTTCACACACACCCCAATGTCAGATGGGGAGGAGCCAGGTCTAGAGGTCACAGCGATGAACGGTCCGTCTGTTATCACTGCCACCCCTGCTCCCATGGGTGAGTTTCCCTTTATACACACAAAGGGCCCCATCCACAGAGGCCACCGAGAGGCGCTGAAGTGACCCCATGTGCACCCCAGAGCCACAGGGGCAGCAGGGTCCGGGTTTCCAATAACCAGGAAGTCTCGACCGAGGGGCCATTCCCAGACATCTCCCTGGGAAACAGCAGCACTGACGTTGCCCTGGACACATTTCCTCTGTCTAGTTTAATCGTAATTCACACAAACACTAAAAAGTATTAAAACATACTTCCACTTTGCCCCTACCTATGTTTATATATAAATCCCTGAGAAGGTACCTGTCAAGTTGAAATTTACTATTTATAGTTCATAAACATCCTGGTGCAAGCAGACACCAGACCCTCCCTCCCCTGTACATCGATGTGGGGCGGGGGGTTGTCATCTGTCAGGAGAGAAACTTAGGGCTCCCTCCCTAAAAGCCGGGGGGGAGGGGGGATTCTAAACCACCTGCACAGAAGCTGGAAAAATCTGCCCTTCGTTCACTATTGTGTGTTTGGAGGTCATGACGTGATCACACCACAGGGACACCACACCGCCTCTCTGAATGGCCTTGCTTTCCTGCCCTGTTTAGACGTCAGAGCCGTGGGGCTAGCGATGAGCAAGGCAGTCAGCCAAATCTGGAGAAGAAAACAGGCAGAGGAAGAAAAGGCAAGTGAGGAAAAAGAGAGGAGGCGAAGGGGATGGCAGGGAACCAATGTGACAAAGCTGAGGAGACATGGAAATCAGAAGGGCCATCCGTGCCCCCGCCCTGACACTGGGGACAGGGGCAGGGAGTGGCCCCTGAGTGAGACACTGCAGCCAGCCATTCAAAGCAACAAAAATACATGAACACCAAAAGAGGGATCCGAAAGGATGCCAGATCAGACCGCCAGAGAGACCAGGCGTGCTTCCCCCTTGGGGACCAGCCCTCATCTCATCCAAGGGGACTTGGCCAATCCCAACTCTTAGGCACCAGGGTGACCTGCAGCCGGCTGCTACCAGTGATGCTCAAAGTGGGCCCAGCCCTCTGTGCCATTCTTCCTGTGCCTTTCAGCAATGCGGGCGGAACTCACTACAATCTGCGTTACCACCACACCTATTCCCCATCAGTTCAGGCACAAGGTGCAATAGTGAGGGTGCTGGCGAGTGAGTACGAGACCCCTGGTTGCTCAGTGCCTGGTGGTGCCGAGTGGGAGGGAATAGAGAGGCCAGTGCCACCACCACCCACAGCATGAGACAGCCGGGCACGGGTCCCGACGTAGCCAGTGAGCAGGATCTGACCTGTGAATGCAGGAGGGTAAGGAAGCGCTTCTCACGCCCTCTGCAATATTTTAAATCTAAGCTTCCAAGCAGGACATAAATAAAGTGCTGTCAGTAGTGCCTATGTGACCCATACTCTACAGCCCAGATGGCCGGAGATTCATTAGAGTTTCTCAGTGCTCGGCAGATTATAAAAAAAAAAAAAAAGTATGGACAGAAAACTCCCAGAGAGTTCAAGGCCCAGGGCAAGCCACATCTGTGCTCTGCCAAAGTCCCCACTTCTTGGAAATTCTACACAGTCGCTGTGAGGATGAAGTGAGCATCGGGCAGTGATCAAAGGAAAGGGAAAAGGAAGTCCACACCGGGGCATCTTTGGCACTGGGTCTGGAGGAGACTTTGCCTAAAACAGTCAGTTCTAATCCCTGCTCCTCTACCATTTGCCCCCCTCCATTCCAGGGGTTTCCACTCTGGGGTCCTTATCTGTTTTGCATCTTTTTAAAGATGCATTATATATTTTAAGAACATCTGAAGCCAATTTATCAAAGAGTACATATGACTTACTTTTGTTTTTCTAATAATAATAATGTATTAGATTTGCCCCCCGGTTTATTAAAAATAGTTTTGCCTCTTCTATCTGTTTTTGAATATGTTAAAGTTTTTGTATCAGCTTATCTAAAATCCCTTGCTTAAAATGAGTTTAGTTCCAGCAATAAATACATGCTTCTCTATGCACTGTCTCATACTTTGACAATAGGTTTTTCTTCATTGTTATTCCTGCATGAATAAAATAGCTTAAAAAAAATAAGATACAAGGAAATCTGATTCCTGTCTCACTTGATCATTTTGCTGTAAAAAAAAAAAATGTCTCCATCAAATAGAAACAAATATTTGGCATCACTTATTCAAATCAGTAAGAATATACAGGGCTGTGTGTACCCACAATGAGAAGGAAAAGCAAGATCGAAATCAAACAACAAAAAAAGGAGGGAGAATTTCATAAGTCCCGTATGAAATCATAGAGATATCACAAATAATTATTGCTAGGAACAGTATTTTAAACAAAGGGTCTTAGGTAAGTGCATTAAAACTGTCTTAAATACAAACAGCCCTACCACCAGTAAAATGCTGCAAATTTGATCGTAATTAAAATACAAAATCATACAGAAAATGCCCTTTGATAACTTGGTCTTAAATTTTTCTTGAGGTCCTAAAGGTAGGAGCTTTTAGGCAAATTGCCCGCCAGGTGTATGGATGGCTAGAACTGGTTTTAGGCAGAGCGATTTGTACTGTGACCGGTTCACTCTGGGGTGCGGCCTGAACCTCTGGGGCCCCCCGGAGGATCCTGTCCCGCAGGAGAAAGCGGGGCCCCGAGCGGCGA